CCCTCGCATTCAGACCAAGTGACCAGTAAGACTCACCTGGTGCAGCACTTTATCCAGAGGCTCAGCTTTGACGAGGTCTTCCAGAGTCAGTCCTGTCTCCTCTTTACATTGCTCTGTCAGCTCCAAAGTATCTGGTTTGACAAGACACCTCTGAAGCTTCCCGACCTGTGAAAGGATTTAGCGTTTCATGGGGCAGAATGGGGTTGGGGGAGCTAATTTATGGCTAATTATAACGTAGCCTCCCACATTCAGGAAATTCATTCTTACAAAAATAAAAAAAGTCAAACAAACAATTGACAATGTAGTTGCATAAAAGCACATAATTGTCAATTAAGCTTTGTTTATCTCGAGAAGCTGACATGCCAAACCAAAAAGGTGTGTTTTCTCCATTAGGTGAAATTAAACTCTTCACCTGTTTGTTAAATTTTGCGTCGCACCTGTTAAAAAGGTGCGCTAACAAGACGGGCTGGACAGAGAATTGAGTTAGCTAGCATTAGAGAAAGAGCAGGCTACAGACGCTTTCAGAGAGCACACCATGTTGATTTAAATGTCAAAACATATTGTTACTACAGGTAGACACTATGCCACAAACAGTCTGGATAGCCTACATAAGAAACCGTACAACGAACGAACGGGTCAGAAAGGTCCGTACCTTTTTCTCATGTAGATCCACAATTTGCCACACCAAGAGAATTATTTCCCTCTCATCCGAACCCAGTTTACCCCCATTTGCACCAGCTGTTGCCCCAAAGAACACCACCAGAGTATCACTGTGCGAAGCCATCAGGGACCACAAGGGTAAAAACTACAATTAAAGCAAAGATTAAAATAAAAATAACACGAGGGTTCACCTTTTTCCAAGTGATAAGAAGAGCGAACAAAAGGGCTGGAAACTCAATTGAGGTAAACGGAGAGAGAAAAGGGGGAGATTATTTTCAGAGGAGCCACGAAAGAGTTTGCGGTCAGAGACTCTACCTGTTGAAGTACTTGAGTGTGTTCTATCCAGAGATACTGGTTTAACTGGTAAGAAGGATGGGAATCCGTGTTTCTTTCACGCGAACTCCATAACAAGCCCTGGAGTTTTTTTCCCCCCCTCTCTCCTTTCTATTTTTTTCCGGCGTTACCTGTGTGGTTCGGCCTCTTAGCTAGGAGAGTCCAGAGGCGTCGCCTATTGGCTGGTTTGGAAAGGTGAGGGCGGGACGCTGGGGTGAGTGCTGTTATCTCATTGGTCAGATCTGGTGAATCAGGAAGTACTTTCGTAAAACAGGAGGCATCAGCCTGCTGCTGTTTTAAATTGACGTGGGGCAATTTTTGAGTGCTTTAAAAGGTTAATTATTTTCCATTTAAATTAAATTTGAAGGCCTACTTCTTCAAGTGATGACTAAATATGCATCAAATAATGTGTGAAGATATGTGTCTATAAGAGTTTAGCCAATATGGCTGTAGTGAACTGACAATTGTTTAACCGGCTATTTGTTGTCTGTCCTTTTACCAGGTTTTAGTTTGTGTTATAGACTACAATTTGAAGGATAATAGTATCTGACCTTTTTGAACTTATATCCTCAGAGAACATAATACTATGTGTTTTAATGGTCTGCTTTTCATGCCTGTCCTAAATAGTATTTAAGCCCAGAAATTCACACAATTTAATGTATTAAGTGTAAGATTTATTGGCAGAACATGTGTACCTGATCAACATTTCTTGTGGGTTCTATAATAATCATGTTGTGGGAGTTGGTATGAGTGTTCTGCAGAGTGTACTGCAACTAAGCTGACCCAAACATTTAAATAAAATTTAGCAGGACATATGCTGATTTTACCCTCTGGCTTATTCAATGCAATGTTCTGCACCTGGAAAACTGGCACATTCATACAAAGTGTGACACAGTGGTTCTCAAAGTGGGGTCCTTGAGGGGGTTCCATGGGGTTCCCAGCAAAAAGGGGGAATCATTTATTTTTACTATAATTCCAACCATAAGTAACACAATGATGGAATGTATGATTATTTTGGTCGTGGGTTTCATACACTTTCTGTAATAAAACATCTAAAAGCAAAATTCCTATCGGATGGGGGACTCCGAGACAACATCTTGGTCCGTGGTCTAATTTGTGTCAGTTTAGGGTTCCTTGATGTGAAAACATTTGAGAAGCACTGGTCTATGACTCTGTGTTTACAGGGAGTTGGAAACAATGTTGTTCTTTAAGTTTTCACTGATGTTATTCAGATGCAAAACTGTACACATGCAACACATAAGGCCATATAGTCACCAAATGTTTCAAATAGTAAACTTTAGATGATTGCAATTGTGACATTATCAGGAAGATTTGCCCTAATTTACATCTCTTTCAATATGTTCGTTTACAGTGGGTGTAAGGTATAAGGGACTGCAGGAAGGACAGAAGGAAAGGAGTAGAGGAGAAAAGAAAGACTGACACATGCAGACAGATAGAGAAAAAATAAAGAACAGTAGAATAGGCTAATCCTTTTTCATGCTCAACATCCATGCTGCTGAGCTGCAACTAAAACTGTGATATGGATATAACATCTACTGCACAGTGTTTTTTTTCTGTTCAAAAATTATTATTAAAAATTATTATAAAAAAAGTGTCATGTGGCTATATTTTTGTCTAGGAGCATCTTTCATATTTGAAGAAAATATGGCGCTTCAAAAGAGCAACATTAAACAATCTCGAGTTTTCAGTAACTTCACAGGTCCTTACTGGCCTGCTGGAGTTTTCGCTAGTCTTTGGCCCAGTTCCCAGCATACCATGTTTTGTTGCTCCTGACACTCCCATCTCTGCTCGCTATGGGCCAGCAGACTGTATGAATGTATGAATGCTAGGCTTTTAGTCTTTTCACCTCCTTTCACTCATTTAAATCCCACAGTCTGAAGAGTAATTCCCAGTGTCTCCTTCCTTATGTGGAATCATTCTTTCCAGCTGAACCAGTCTGATGAGTTGAGGGACACACTGGGAAACACTTCAGCTGAAATCCGAGACACATAATGATATTGCTTTACAAACAGAACAGAAAAGAACATTGATCCACACGATATCACATAGGAGGCATGCTTATACATGTCGTCTGTGGCGCCAAAATGACGAGCTAAGTTTTTCTTTCAGCAGGTGTATTTGGTAAAAAGGTTGTATAGCCTGAATGAGAAAGCAACCTGTATGAGCCACCACCGTACCCAGAAAAAAAAGAAACTTTCAGTTTTGGTGTCAGTGGTAGAATCATGTGGTGTGAGGTGTGTAGGTCTTCCACCAAGCCAAAAAAACAGGGTGTTATGCCAACCAACACATCCCAGTTAACTTTGGGGATTGCTAAGATTCATGGCTCAGGTTATCCCTTTGGAAGGTCCTGTTCTTTGGTGTACTTTTAGCCTTGGGAAGGATGGGTTACATGTAAAGGGATTACGGTAATCTGATTACAAAAACCAAAACATTTGATTGCTCATACAGCAGGATAACTGTGAGGGAGGTTTTGACACTTCAAAAAGTGATCAACTTAATGTGTTCCAAACATGTTAGATTCTAAGAGTAAATGTGTGCCTACATTATTTTTCACCTTTGTTTCTCATCATGCATCAATATTTTATCAATTAACAAAACCCAAAAACCGTTCAGAACAAAGTGTTAATACAATTAAAGAGTATACACTCATAAGACAATGGGTACGTTAGACACATGCCACATTGCTGTCTCATTTACAGGCTGCTTCCTCATTCTATGAGAAAAGGTCTAGCGTGTCTCAAGAATATGTTTTCTTGCGGGATCTTGTCAAACACGTATTTCTGTGTGACACCCTTTGCTCTTTGTAACATTCCACTGTCACAGTTAAAATTATCCTCACTCACTAAATTTCAAAGGTTCCAAAGAGGTGACGAGTGCCGTCACAGCGGTTTTATTCAATCCTGTGTTGAAATCATTATCACAATGAGCCTTCTCAGAGTATTTACACAACACACAAATGACATCTCATGGGAAAATCATTAGCATGGAATGTAAATTATTACGAATGTGTGATGTTTTTTCTCTAAGACTTGACATTTGAACTGTCTTCCCTATATGTTACTACATTCAGTCTACTCTGAGCTGCCCAGAAAGGACATGGTAATTGAATGTGAAGCTTTTTTGTCAGCCTGAAATAATTTTAAATCCAAAGGTCAAATTTAAATAAACGTTACTGACGCAAAGTAAAATTATCTACTTATATTTATTGTCAACCATTTGTCAAATTTGTAAAACGTATAGAAAGAGTGTCTCCTAGAAGAGCTTAGTTCCTCCCACTCGAACTTCTCGAATGTTGCTGCTGAGTGTCAACACGCAGGTTATAAATGTCTGTGGTGTATGAAGCAAAGCAGTGCTAAAAGAGAATTTGATCATGGCCATACCCTGGATAGATAAATTAAAAAAGGGCATTTTTTGGTGAAATAAAAATATTATAATAAATAATACGGTGTCACTGCCATCTATTGGCTGTGTCAGTTGGTGAGAAAATCTTTTGTGTAGTCGTGGCAACATAGACACTTAATGTGCTATGAGAAGAGCATTATAAATGTCTACCTTACATACGCATTTAAAGATATCAGTAAATAAGCTGATGCTGCACTCTCTACCTTGAAAGAGCAGGCTTGAGTTTTATAAGACTGTGACAAACATTAAGACATGATTCCGCTTTTTGCTGCTCAACAAAGGGAACATGCAGTTTTTCATTTTGCAATCTTTTCATGGTGAGGAAGTTGAAAGCTGGTGTCTGTTGTGGGATACAAGGACATTTGTTAGCTAATGTGTCACCAGTGAAGAACATTTTTACAATAGTCGTTAAGTTTAAAAAACAGTTTTGTTCCCAATCAGACTGAATCAGAGATTCTTCACTATTAGAAAGTCCCTCTTTAGTCTTTTCAGTCTCCATCAATACAGCCAAAACTGTGTGAGAAAGAAGTGTACAAAAAATAATTAGTGGCAAGCAGGTGCCACCACAGGATTAGAATACTGTGTTCTGTCCAATCATGTTTTGTTTTTTAATTCTTAAACAGAATCAATCACACAATCTCACTTTGATGGAAAAGTATTGCATTTTTACAAATACTTGAGGCATACACAATTATTGATTGCACTATATTATAATTACTATATGGCATAAATCTCAGTACAAATATATAACATATTTATAAATATATGTTCACCATTTGATAAACAATTAAAACAAAACAAACCTAAAATGGGTCATTTACAGAGTTGGACAAGTATGGCACAGATAAACTCTGTCTTCTTGTTCTGTGTTGTAATTTCATACAAAATGTGTCAAATACATACAGTAATCACATGTCAGAGACACACGGCACATACAGAATTCACACATTTTCAATATCAGGATGGATTATTTTCACACATGTTTACTAATATGTCCATTTGTTCTTTTGACTCAGTCATACACTGAGAACTGTTGGTCTGATTGCTTTGTCTCTTGGACACAAAGGACAACTCTCTATTACCCTCACCTGGGGAGGTGCTGGAGATGTGGCGGAAGAGCTTCTGGATGCCGGTGTCACGCAGGGAGCTCCTGAAGGAGCGAGCTGCAAACATGTAGAGGATGGGGTTGACGGTGCTGCTGATGAAGACCATAGCTCCAGCGATGAAGACTATGGTGCTCCTGAAACTCTCCATATTTTTTGCTGCGTCAGGGAAGGAGTCTTCAGTGGCCAGGATGATGATTGAGAGGATGTTTCCTACCTGATGGGGAGTCCAGCAAATGGCAAACACGACCACTACACTAGCAATCAGGACTGTGGACTTGCGTTTGGACTTGAAGGACATCTGAGTGATCCGGCTGCACAGGCAGCCATAGCAGACCACGAGGATGGAGAAGGGTAATACGTAGCCCACCAGTGTCTCTAGCAGCACACACACCAGCTCCTGGGTCACAGAGGTGTAATACCGGTACAGACAGTGCTCCACTGTAGAATCCTTATCTACAATCTGAGTTGGGATGACAGGTATGCTGAACAAAAATGCTGCAGTCCACAGAGCTAGCAGAACTTTATTCAAAGCCTTTTTCCTCTTCCAGTAAGCTGACGCAAAGGGATAGCGCACAGCCACGAAGCGTTCTACACTCATGAGGGTTATAAGGAAAACACTGCTATACATACAGGCGTTGATCATGAACACGATGGCTTTGCAGGAGGCCTCTCCAAACACCCAGGAGCGGGCCAGGGAGTAAATCCATAAAGGCAGGGTGATGAGGACCAGCAGGTCAGCAGCAGCCAGGTGCAGGATAAGCACCACAGTGTGGGAACGCTGCTTCACGTGCCTCAGGATAGTCCAAATCACCAGCAGGTTCCCCGGAACTCCTACTAGAGCAGACAGGCCGAGGATCACACAAGCTGCTGCTGTCCCACCGTCAAACTCCTCAGGAGCCATTTCCTCTGAAGAAGACAGCTTAGTTGAACAGTTCATGCTTCAAGTGTATGTGCTGACACTGATGTCTGCATGAAAAGAAAAACAAAGTGCTGTACAAGCAAGTCTTCACTTCCCTTTAAGAAATAGACTGCACAGGAAAGGGGTTTCCTCACAGGGCTATTTGAGACACAGCGAGGTGATTCATGCATGCGTCATAAGTCCATTTTTCTAGGGCATTGGTTCCTACCTTTTGTGCCTGATGTACCCCCACATCCCTATCAGACGAACTACTCCTTATCAAGTACCACCATCATGTTACAAATGTTTTCATTTCAGTCGATTTTAAAGGGGATGTTAAGTAATGTTATAACTGAATTGTCAGTATGAAGCTTGGTTTAGCCAAGTGTGCATTCTTACTCCATCTTTAAACTATCTATCCATTAGCTAATTATTTCAACTATTTAACCATTACATTTGGCTAATTACAGCTACCATTTATCTATTACTTTTAGCTTGCTATTTTACCTGTTTGTCCATCAATTTCAGCTAATTATTTATTTGTTTATACATTACTTGTGGCCATTTCAACCATTTATCTGGTCATATGTAACTATTTTACTATAATTCATGCAACTATTTAAATATTTTATCTACTACTTAGCTAACTATTTCAACTTCTCTGCTAGCTTGCTAACTAGTATTCCTGCACACTTATACTATATAGCTTACTGGTTATTGTGACAATACATTTACCAAAGATCAGCATCACACCAAGTTGGATGGTTCTATCTGGATTGTTATTTTCCTCCTTAGCACAAATATGGGATGGCAATACATATAAAATGTCTCTTTTTTTCAAATTTGTTATGATACTCCACATGTGCCCCGCGGCGTACAAGTAAGCTACACTAGGTTGGGAATCACTGCATTAGGGTATAAAAAGAAGTGTGTCGTCCGAGTGATTTAAGAAGCGGTTTAAAATAAAAATGTTCAAATATTCAAATATTGATGAAACGTTCATTTCTTTTATATTGCATTGAAGGTTTTCTTATTGTGCAAATAAACCTTTCTCATAGCTATTTGTTAATTAACATTTCTTGGTGCAAGCTATTTTTCAGTGGCCACGGCTCTCCTTTACTCCTACAAGTGCCTGCTCTATGCAGGGTAGGCTATGCAGCTGATGTTGAAGCTACTGCAACTCCAGTACCAAACATTTCCTAGTGGCTCCAAGGACTACAGACCTGTGGCACTGACCTCCCACATCATGAAGACCATGGAGAGACTGGTTCTGGATCAGCTGCGATCCATAGTCAAGACCTCACCTGGACCCACTCCAGTTCGCCTACCAGCCCCGACTGGGAGTTGAGGACGCCATCATCTTCCTGCTCAACCGCACCTACGCTCACCTGGACAAGCCAACGAGAACTCCTCTCTCTTTTCCTCTTCACCATCTACACCACAGACTTCAACTACCACACAGAGTCCTTCCATCTTCAGAAATTTTCTGATGACTCTTGCTGTGGCAAGGGTGATGAGGCTGAGTACAGAGCTGTGGTGGGCGAACCGCACAGAGCGCCACAGGAAGTGATTCCTACCTGTGGCCATCAAACTCTATAACTCCTCTCTTTAAGTGTCTGACAGTTATTAAACGTCTCGGGATACGTATGTAACCCTGGTTCCCTGAGAAGGGGAACGAGACACTGCGTCGGTTACGACACTATGGGAACGCCTCTAGGCGTAGCAGGTCTGAACGTGAATGAAATCACTCCAATCCTATTGGCTTGTTGCTAGAACGGTAAGGTGTGACGGAATAACCGGAGGAGTATAAAGCACACCTGTACACACTCATCATTAGCTTAAACTATGAAGCAGGCGCTTCAGGCGTGGAGAGAGGTGCGGCGGGCCGACGCAGTGTCTCGTTCCCCTTCTCGGGGAACCAGGGTTACATACTCAGATGATGAAGTCTCCCGTCCTCCGCCATCACATGAGGTGGAGGATGAATGCCTGCAGCACTGTGGACCCTGCCGCACAAGAAGGCACTTTAGGGATGTATCCTGGACGAGGGTGCAGGATAGCCCTAATATTCCCCGGGGCAAACTCCAGGCTTGCGGGGAAACCGCTAGATCCCAAGTGGGAACCTTGGACCGAGTTGAAGGTCTCATCCTCCGGGCACCACGGAGGATCCGTGTGGACGGGGCCCTGGAGCTGAGGAGGGTCTCGACTGCTCCAGCTGTTAGACCCGCCTCTAGGTACTGTGCCCCCTCAGGGACCAGACCCACAGTCGCCATATGGCGGGGCAAGGGTGAAGAACCCGGCCCTGCGCCTGGGACAGCAGGTCTCTCCTCAGAGGGACCCGCCACGGCGGGCCGTCCAGGAGCCATCATGATGTCCGAGAACCACACCCGACATTGTCCTGGCGGACCCGCTCCAGAACCCCTGGGAGCAGAGCAACTGGGGGAAAAGCGAACAGACGTAGCCTCGGCCACGAATGTACCATGGCGTCCAGACCCAACGGGGCTGGAGGAACGAGAGAAAACCATAGCGGGCAGTGCGTAGTCTCTTGAGACGCAAACAGATCCACGTCTACGGGGCCGAACTCTTCGCACAAGAGCTCCACCACTTCGGGGTGAAGTCTCCATTCCCCGGGCCTCAGCCCCTGCCTCGACAGCAGGTCTGCTCCCTGATTCTGCGTCCCCGGGAGATACATCGCCCTGAGCGATAGTAACCTCTGCTGGGACCACAGGAGGATCTGACTGATCTGATCCAGTCTGTACAGAGGGCGCGAACGCAGACCGCCCTGGTGATTCAGATAGGCCACCACCGCTGTGTTGTCAGAAAGAACCGGGACGTGGTGGCCTTGGAGATCGGGCAGGAAACTCCTTAGAGCCTGGAACACAACATCTTGAGACAGTTGATATGCCACTCGGATTGATGCACCTGCCAGGATCCCCTTGCAAAGCGGCCGTCCATGACCGCACCCCAGCCCGTGAGGGAGGCGTCTGTCGAAATGACCAGCCGGCGACAAGACCCTCCCAGCACGGGCCCCTGGGACAGGAACCAAGTTTCCTTCCAAACTGATAGGGAACGAAGACACTTGCGTGTAACCCAAATCAGACGGAGAGGATTTCCCCTCGGGGAAAAACCCTTGGTCCTTAGCCACCACTGCAGGGGTCTCATGTGCTGCAGTCCAGATGGTATTACGCTGGACGCAGCCGCCAGGAGACCCAACACTCGTTGAAAGTGTTTTATAGTGATGGCGTGGCCTAACTTCACCCCTTTCACGGCAACCAATATGGTGTCGACACGTGCCGGAGACAATTGTGCCCGCATCATTGTCGAATCCCATACTACCCCTAGTCCGTTGGGTGGGCGCCAGCACACTCTTCTTTGCGTTGAGCCTCAGGCCGAAACGCCGGAGATGAGCCAGAACAACATCTCGATGCCGAAATGCCAACTCTCGAGACTGGGCTAGGATGAGCCAGTCGTCGATGTAGTTGAAATCCGGACGCCCTGGAGCCTCAGCGGGACCAGTGCTACATCCATACACTTGGTGAATGTGCGAGGGGAAAGTGCGAGGCCGAATGGAAGAACCCGATACTGGTAAGCCACACCCCCGAAGGCGAACCTCAGGAACTTCCTGTGAGAAGGACGGATGGAGACGTGGAAATAGGCGTCCTTTAGATCTATCGTGACGAACCAATACTCGGATTCGATGTGCGTCACGATGGCGGGGATGATGAGTATCTTGAACCTGAATCTCCTCAGAGACCGGTTAGAACCTGCAGATCCAAAATAGGGTGCAGCCCTCCGTCCTTCTTGGGGACTATGAAGTACCGGCTGTAGAACCGGCGTCTCTGTCTAGGGGGGAGACACGTTCCACGGCCCCTTTCCTCAGCAGAGTACGAACTTCCTGTCCCAACACCGGACCTTGCTCCGGGCGGACCACAGTCCAAACCACCCCGTTGAATTTTGGAGGGCGGGTTTTGAACTGTAGTCGAAACCCATGTATGGCAGTGCGCAGGACCTCGATCGGCCTCCAGGGGGTACGGGAGGGGAGAAAGACTCCCCTACCCCGGTCTTCCCTGAGCTCCGTCGGGACTGGATGACGGTCCTCAGATCGCGTCTCTCAGAAGGCTGAGGGTGAGAGCGCCGTCTCGCTGCCCCAGCTCCTCGGGGGGGGGGGGGCCGAGAAGCGACACTCTGCTTCCTCTCCTCTCTGTAGGAGCTCGTAGAGGGAAGGGACCTATGCCTGGCAGCCTCAGCTGCCTTGGGTCCAGACAGGCGAGGGAGGTACTGGCGGAACGCTTCGCCCTGCGTCTAACGCTCCGTGGTTCTGCAAAGCTCCGCCAGATCTTCCTCAGAGGGACCCCCCCTCTGAACCATCTCCTGTAGCAGGTCGGCTTGGTAGGCTTGAAGCACCGCCCTGGTGTGCAAGCTCGCACCTGCCTGGCCCGCTGCCATGTACGCCTTCCCCACGAGCATAGATGTGGTGTGACATGGCTTGGAGGGTAACGCCGGCTTCTCCAGGGAGGACGAGGGGAGAGATAGCTCACAAGCGCATCCTCCACCCGAGACATAACCACGGTCCCTAACCCCCATCACATTACTGTAATTCAGTGATAGGGGTGTGGAAAGACGTGTAGAGAAGGGTCTGCCCCATGATTACTCAGTTGATCATGTAAATCAGGAAAGAATGGCAGAGACCAGCGTGGAGGTGGCGCGTGGTGCTTAAGAAACCTTTCATCAAGCTTACCACTAGCCTGTGGTGTCTGCTCCTCCTGTGGCCAGTTGATGTTGAGCTTAGCCACGGCTCTAGTCACCACCTCCAGCAGCATGTCATAGTCGGACGCCGCCAGATGACGCCGCCCCGACACCCGGAAGTCATCGTCCACTATGCTGAGCACGTCCGCCTCCTCGGAGTCGGATTGCTGCAGCATCTCCGGATCCAAACCGCGAGCGGGAGAAGCCGAGAATGGGCTCCCGAACGAGGAAAGGAAGCGTCGGAGCCAGCGGATGAAGGTCGGGAAAAAGCCTCAGCCGTCCCGAAATCCTCCGACAGATCACGCTGTGAACCCCATGAGTGAAGCCTCAGTGGCCGCAGGGCCCACACCACAGGGAGAACACATCCGGCCATCCTCGGAAAAGAGAGCCATGCTGTACCTCAGTACCCGCACGGAAAGGGCTTCGCAACGGGCGCAGGCAGCCCCCTCGAGAGCTGCCCGGGCGTGCTCCATCCCCAAACATGAGACACACATCTCATGAGAATCTCCATCCGTGATGTACCGAAGGCAAGAAAAAGCACACCTTCTATACATCTGGTTGCCGGACATGCTGGTAGACTTCTTCTTCAGGTAAGACACACTGCTTGTAGGACTGGAGCTTTCTTCAAACAACATACAGAGCGCCTGCTGAATAGAAAAAAGCTATTGATAAGTGTGTACAGGTGTGCTTTATAGTCCTCCGGTTATTCCGTCACACCTTACCGTTCTAGCAACAAGCCAATATGATTGGAGTGATTTCATTCACGTTCAGACCTGCTACGCCTAGAGGCGTTCCCATAGTGTCGTAACCGACGCAGCCAGGGAACTAGACCTTATAATCTATTTTCTGCGCAATATTACTTGTTTAATAAATAATGTGCAATCTTCTCTGCTGCTATTTATTCACTAGTTCTTTT